GCTTGCCTCAAAGCTGAAAAAGTGTCACCTAGAGCCTTTAGCGTGACGGTTGCTGTCCACTGTTAGGAGCAAACGAGCCTCAGTTGTCAGCGGGGATGGCCCATTTAAAGGAAATTGTGGTCTGACGTCTATGGAACGTGTTTCTGCATCCCATGCGACTTACGTTAACGTGAATCCCACTTTAACTGTCTCTTTAAACCAACGTGCTACGTGACTAAACCAATACCTCAGAAAAAGCAGATAGGCAGCTGCTCTGTGTTTTGCTGAAGGACAAGAAAACCACTTGCTTTGGTCTGTGGAAATCTGGTAGCTCATCTGCAAGCTTGCTTGGAAATAAAGGAAAGACAGTAGATTAATTAATAGTTGAAATTGTTGAAATAAGCTTACGAATTTCCTAGGGAAATGCTACTTAGTTTTCTTAAAGCTATGCTGAATTAGGTCACCTGTTCAGGCCAGGTAACAGTGCTTTCTAAAGTTGTATTGTCACTGTAGCAGTCCTGAGGGCTGACTAACAAGGGATGGGCAGATCCAGCACAGGTGCAAGATGTTAGTCCTGATTAAAGGTGTGAATTATTTGAAATATAAGGCCTCTCACTCTTTTTTTGTCAATTGCAGAAAAGATTCACCTGCTTGATCTGAAAGAGTCTTAGAAGTGAAGAAAGGGCACAAAAGGGATGTTGATATGTCTGCTGCTCAGGAAGATGATGTCTGTAATCATGTGAAAGTGGTGGTCCGTGTCCGTCCAGAGTCTCAAAAGGAAAAAGATGGCAACTTTAGCAAGGTTGTTCATGTTGTTGACCAGCATATATTGGTCTTTGATCCAAAGGAGGAGGAAGTTAGCTTCTTTCACGGGAAGAGACTGACCCATAGGGATATTAATAAGAGAAAAAAGAAAGATCTGAAATTTGTGTTTGATGCTGTTTTTGCTGAGAGTTCATCCCAGTTGGAAGTTTTTGAGCATACTACCAAAAGTCTAATTGATGGTTTCTTAAACGGATATAACTGCACAGGTAACTTTGCTATTTATCTTCTTCAATTTAAAAACTTCACTAAATTCCTCAAAGTTTCTACTACTGTATTTGACTGCTGCAGAGGCCTTAAAAAAAGACTGCGAGAGAAATAAAGCACTTTAGTTTAATTTATAGATATGAGAAGCTGGCTTTTTACCCTACAGAAGCTAGGATAGCTGTATTCTATTTTGAAAATGAATTCATGTTAGAGCTATAATAGACTTCAGAATTTTATCTGAAATATGCATACTTATGAGGGGAGTCCTTTGGAAAGAGTTATCCAACCAGGAGCAGTTGTGTCACTGAGTGTGTGGTAGCCTGCATTATGAACCGTGTTAAGAGCTTGGGTTTTTAATTGGCAAATGGAAGGTAGGGAGGAAACAAAATACCTACCTGCAATAAGTTGATGGCTTAGGGTTAGGAGAGTAAGCAAACAATATTTTCATGTAAATTATCAATGAATGAATTTTGAACTGAAAATTCAAAAATAAATGTGATTTTGAAATAGCTTGCTGATTATAGCTGTAAAGGTAAAGCCTGAGTAAGAAACTTGATTAGTTTATATAAACAGCTGTGCAGAATGACAGAGGTGTGTGCGTGTCCTTTTGACTTTTGCATTCCTGATTAGTTTACTAGTATAAAGTACATCTTTCTGCTTTGTTGCTTTTGTGTGAAAATTCAGTGCTTGCGTATGGTGCAACGGGAGCTGGAAAGACTCATACAATGTTAGGTTCCCCTGAAGATCCTGGAGTGATGTATTTAACCATGATGGCGCTTTATAATTGCATGGATCAAATAAAAGAAGATAAAATATGCAATGTTGCAGTCTCTTATTTAGAGGTAAGCAAGTTCCTGCATTTGTTATGTTGCTTTAAATAAGGCATATTTTAATAAAGACAAGCTGGTTTTGTCTTCCCCCTGGCCCTTTCTGGGTGACACTTTGCAAAATGTGTCCCTGATAGGGATGGAACTGAATGGTTCTCAACAAATTTGATGTTACTCACAGGTACCTGTTACTGATTTACAGAAGGCTGCCCAAAAAGGGCAATCTCTTCTAATATATTTACTAAACATTCTGATGATTTCTATCTTGCTGATCACTTTCGTCCCTCTGAACATCTGTTGATGTGAACAAGAAAATATCTTTTCAGGGTTATATTTCAGGACTTCACAATAAAATCCTATAAGTACTGTGAAATCACACAACAAAATGATTTCTAATCCCTTTTTAATGATGTTTTTTAAAGCTTTCAGTTTATTTTATTTATCTGAGCTACAGTACAACTACTTGAATTAGAGCTGCTATGCCAATGATTAGTTCTTTACAAATATTCCTTTTGTTCTTTGTCATCTTCTCCTCTCTTCAACTTTTTTGCATCACGGTTCTGTTTTACAAGTAGCTGTCTTGGCACTGCTGTCAAGCAGTAGTAGTAAAATTGTTACCTTCTGGCCTCCTCAAAGTCTTAGTGAAAGAATAGTTAGTATTTGGGGAGGGAAGAAGGAGGAGGAAAAAGTTTGCTTTGCCATGTGCTATTACAAGTGCTTCCACAGACCAAGAAATTTAGGAATTTTAATGGTAGTGTATTTGGATTAAGAAATCTTGCTGAAGTATAGATTCTGAAGTGTGATAGAGGACAATAAATGCTTTTAGATTTGTGCTTGCTGCAAAATTTTTTTTTAAAAAAGTGAGCTTTTACTTTTTTAATAAAGAATAAAGACTTTACTAGGAAGGAGTGCCTTCCACTTCAGTGGCTAAAAATATCATGCAAATTGAATTAATTGAATATTTCAAGCTCAATATAGGAAAGCTGTTTAGCAAAAATTGTACTGAATGAATTTGTTACTTTGTCTTATGTATTAGAAGACTGTGATTTCTGGTTGGTTACGCTTAATCCTGTCAGGTATGGTAGGACAGTTTTATTAAAAGACTTTAAATTCACATTCAAAGGTCTACAATGAACAGATCCGTGATCTGCTGGTAAACTCGGGACCTCTGGCTGTTCGTGAAGATACCCAGAAAGGGGTGGTAGTTCAAGGGCTAACATTACATCAGGTATGTAAATAGATACTGAAATTCAGGAAGCCTCACAATATATTTGAGAAAATGGTGAAGTTCCCATTGATCTGTGAAAGTTGTCTGCAACTTGGTAAGTTCCTAGTGGGCTTTTTTTCCTGCCATAATCACCAGAACCTTAGTAACTTGCAAAACTAATTAATTGTTCAAAAGTATGTTGTGGAAAAAGCTGCTAATATTCTTGAATACAAATGGATAAAAGCATTTGGTCCTTATTGTCAAAAGGGTACCATTAGTCTGATGCTCACCTTCAGGTTTTGGAAGATTTGGGTTTTTAGCTAAAACATCTTAGTGCTTTTTAAAGAAATACACTGCCTTCAGTGCCATCTTGGAGTGTTCTACACCTCTGCAATGTCTCAGGGTTATTCTTGTTTTTAAATAACCGTGTTTGGAAAGTTTAATGTTTAATTACTTTTCCAGGGCAGCATAGCAATTCTTTGGCAAAGTCAGTGACAGAACTTAGTTTTCCAATCTGAAAATCAACTTGTGGACCTACTTTCTTGCAGCCTTTTAGCATACGTTACATCCTTTGTAGCTTCCAGCTTTTGTGTACATGGAATAATGGATCAACAGGAAACAGCGTTATTAGTTTGGCTCACTCTGAACATCATCCTTCCCAAAGCTTGGGTCTTATGGGGAAAAATAGTATATCACTGTTTAATGCATTAGTACAAGAAAAATTAAGTCAATCATTATTAAATATCACTTCTAACTGTGGAGAACCTTTGCAGATTTGTTTAAATTCTTCACTAAAAATATTCTGTGATGTAGTTTCTACAGTTAAGTGCTTGCTTTTTGTACCTTACTGTTTTTTAATTGAGAATGTTTGTTTGAAAAGTTCATTTATTTTTTTGAAGGTGAATGTTAATGTATTTTAGAATCAGTGTAGAATCTCCTATAGCTGACAAAAAAGTGCATTTATCTTCTGTTCTACCCTTAAAGCCTAAATCGGCAGAGGAAATCCTTCAAATGTTGGATTATGGAAATAAAAATAGAACACAGCATCCCACAGATGTAAATGCCTCCTCTTCCCGGTCCCATGCTGTCTTTCAGGTAAGATGATATAGCAGATGTACAGTGGACATTACTATGAGTTGTAGGTTTTGTTTAAAGTTGAATTCAATAGAAGCTTTCTTAAACTGTGTGGAACCTTATTTTGGGTGAGAGGAGATTAAAGTTTTCCAGTTTACTGTTTTGACTTCTCAGTCCTTGTATGTTTGTAAAGATTCATAGTGATTATATCTGAAGAAACAAATTCAATGAAAAGGTCTCTAGTTCCAATAGTTTGAATTAATATTCCTCAGAAGAAATATCTTTTCTGTAAAACTGTAATTTTGAGCCTTGAATATACTTCTATATTGTAATCTTATAAACTAGAAGTTGTTGGGATTTTGTTTGATGCTTTCTGGCTCCACTGTGTTGCTCAGCATTTTTCTAGGAAAAATATTTTACAGAATGCAGTTATGTCTGACTGTAAACTGAGAATCTCAAGTAGTGCTTTCTCATCCTGCTTATTTTGGTTAATGTTGAGTTTCACACTAAAGTGATTTCTTAATATTCTGATATGTACCAAGTTTTAGAACAAATAAAGCAGCATATGTTCTCTGAAAATATCTCCATACGCATACTTGCATGATCAAAATGAAATGCTGATTTTTAGTTTCCATAGATGAGTTTTGCATGTGTTGTACAAATTGGCCAGAACCTAAGACTTCTCCAAAGATTATTGCTGTTTGCTAACAACCATCTTATCCTTCTGACTCCTCTTAAATACAACCTGTGATATTTTAAAAAAGTAATATTTAAAAATTAGCCTTGTTAACTAAAACTTCTGTTTATTACTGCACACTGCACATTATCTTGAATTGTTTATATGTTGTCATTCTGGGTTGCAAAATATTAACATAAATTTGAATTCTGGTTCTTGCATTACAACTGAACTATTTAACTGTTATGCATTTCTTAACTGTATGTGCAGACTTAGGCAATGCTTAATAACTATAGCCAAAGTTTGTATTTTGCCACAGATGATGGCGATGCAAGTAGCTGTAAAGTTAGCACTCCAGAGCTCTACTGTCATACTAATGAGAAGAGGTTAATAACAGACAGCATATGTGTTAAATACTTCTAAAACATGTAACACAGCAAAAGTCATTCCTACTCTAAAAACTTCAATGTTTTCTTATATACCTTAGACTTCTATTGGAAATTGCCCTTCCTGTTTTAATTTCCCCTGAGATCTTGCCCATGGTTGTACATTTAAGGCGAAGACTACTAAGTTGTTCAGTTTAAGAACTGCATTGCTGTGTATGTGTGCTACTGTTAATAAGGCCCAAAGTACCATGCCACAGACATGAGATCAGAGAGTGAACTGCTGATTTCTGCTTCTTTACTTGCTGGGCTGTGGAGTATCTTACCTCCCTCACTTTTACTCAGAAAAAAGCTCTGGATTGTATTATCTGGCAAGCTTTGTGTTCTCCTCCGTTCATTTCTATAAGTGGCAAGCAACTAAATAAATTAGGTAGACTTTGCAGGCTCATAGTATCTTTAAGATGACAAACCGTTCAATGAGCAGGGATGCTGGAGAATTTGTGTTCTAATATTTTAGTATATTAGTATACCTATATCTTACCACAATTTTGTATGGAAAAAAAACCTCGTTGGTATACTTGATCAGATTTACACTTTTTAAAAATTTATCATTTCAAACCATTTCTAGCTTACAGCAAAAGTGAACCAGATGTGAATGCTTACCAGGTGAGCAGGTTTACCTTCTGGCAATATAAGTAAAAACATAATGAAAACAAAGATCCTCTCACATCTAAATGTTGCAGGAACAACAAATATAGTATTCCTGTGTATGTATAAAAATATATTTAGGATGCAGCTTGTTTGCAATGCACTGAACAAAAACTGTCATGCTCAGTGGTTTTGTAAATGCTTTTCATATTGTTATAAAATAAACAAGGTTTGGTTTTTATTTTTTGTGTGTTATATACACATGGTAAACTGGTGTGATGCATGAGAAAGTACAAATAACAATCCTTTGAATGTTTACCAAATACTGTTACAGTAAGCATCTGACTTTAAAAAGCAAAAAGTATACACTGAGATGGTCTAGCTGTCAATCAAGATATTTAATTGCTTTCACTTCAGTGTTATTTTCTTCTGAGTGCACAAGGTATTGGTAAAAGTCATGATTTGTTTTGCTAGATAGTTGTATCTTGAATGTGTGGTTTATATAATTATCTACTAATATCATGTGTTCTCAAAGATAAACTAGTGCAGCCTTTGAATAATAGCGCATTTGAGAGTGAATGGGTTTTAAGCCTTTTTCACGGAAGTGACTTTATGTTTGTGAGGAAGGGAGGATTATGTAATTTATTTAGAAAAATGTGTGTGTAAATAGATGATTAATAGAAATGCTGCATCTGCATGTAGCACTTTAAAGGAATGTTATTGTAGCTAACTAGATTGGTCCAATGAATGCAATTGAAAGTTTAACAGGTTTTAATTAAAACGTACTGGTTTAAGCTACACAAATTTACAACCATACACTTTAAGTGGATTCTTAGATATCTACCTACTTGGTGCACTTATTAGCAGTGTTGGCACCTGTAAGAAATAATTACAAACTGGTCAATTAGTACTATGAGTAATCACTTATGTCAGTTTCCCATCTATTTCCACAAATCTGTGACATTCTGCAAAACATGTCTTACCTGTTTATTCTTTATTGCCTCTTTGGTACCACAGATATAAATGATGAGAAATCCCTATTGCTGTCTTGATTCCTCTTCATTTTTAAGGTTTCTATTGTTTTAAGAGTTGCTCTTGTTTGTAGAGATCAGTTATCTTTTATGCTGGCTTTGGTTTTTGTTGTTAATTTGATTGGAGCAGGGTGTTTTCTGGAACTGACTCAGAGTAGTAAAAGTCTTGGCTCAGGACATTCTGAGCTGATTTTGGAGATGCAAGTTTTGCCTTACTGTACCATCTGTCTTAGGTTTGAAGTCTCTATCTAGGTCAGGCAATTACTGCATCTGAAAGTAAAATCCCAATTGCCACACTGTTCTGTTGAAAGTGCTCTGCCGATGGACAAAGAAATAGAAAAGATTCTGCTTTGGGGCATTTCCTGTATCTTCTGGATTTTTATAAAAGCTTGAGTCATACAGCATAATTTCGCTCACTTCACCTTTCCATATGTCAGTAATGATAGTTACTGGGTTCTGGTAGAGTGCTACCAGCCTGAGATAGCTACTTTACCAAGGTAAGTAGAGGAAGTGGCTTTTTTCTTCTTTGTTTTTTTTCTATCGTACTAGAAATGGTACAACAGAACTTACCTGTGGTGTTTGATATAGAAACATGTCTGTTTGGTTTAGATGTACCTTTTGTGGCAAGTCATAGGAATTTCATTCACTCACAATACTTGTTAACTTTTTTCTGTTACGAATTGCCGTGAAGACTTCATTTCTCATGTGCAGAGCTTAAAACTACAGAACTGCTGAGATATCATCTTTATTAGTCAATCACCTCTTATGTATGGCAATTATTTCCCAATTCACTGTCTAAGAATGCATTCATGAAAGTGTCGGTAACCATTAGCCTTACAGATGGCAAAGCACTCAACACAAAAGAAGGGGAAATTTATAGACAATCCTGAAAAAGTAAAAGCTATCTAAGGACAACTGTAACTTTTCTTATTTGTATAATTATGCTCTGCTTACTTCCTCATAAACCTCAGGAAGGAATACATTCACTAGCAGAAGGAAACAAAAGCATTTAGTTCCTTGTATATCTCCTGTACCATGAAATTTCAGGAAAGAAGGGATGAGGGGCAGAGCAAGTGGCCTCAGGGGTCTCAGCTTTCCAAAAGACCCTGAAGTAGTACGTGTTTGTAAATGAGTATTGTTTCCCTATGAATGGTAGTTACAGTTAAGTCTAGGTGACTGAAAGTCCAGCCTTTTTCCTAGTTTATCCCTATGTATATGTCTTTATGGCATACTCTTAAAGGTGCCTTTAAAAAACAAACACCTTTTTCAGTTTAAAGTGCAATAGTGTGGTATACATCTTGAGTGTAGAAGAATCAAGAGCTATTTTACCTATGAAATTTGTTTGAAGCTTGCCAATCTTTGCCACTGTGATAAGCCCCAGCCCAGTTGCTTGATTAATCCTCTGCAGTAGGATGAGGGAGAGAATCAAAAGGGTAAAAGCAAGAGGGAGGCGGAAATAACTTGTGGTTCACCTAATCAGTGAAGGGGTTGCGGGGGAAACAAGCACTTGCCACAGGCAAACTGATGCTCAGCCAGTCATCAAGCAATGGTTACTTTGGTGAAAATTTTGATCACTTGGAATGAGCTGTCCCCTTGCAACCTCTTGCCAACTGCCTTGACACTGTACAACCACTGTTTAGCAAAAACCAGACACTGGTGTTTTAGCAGCACTGTTTGAGTCAGAAATCTGAAAGCATCATACAGGCTGCTATGCAGAAAATTAACTCCATCCCAGCCAAACTCAATGCAACCACACTCTGCTTCTTTTTCCCTACTAATACCTGAGCAGGTGAGTTTGAGGTAAGTGTCAGAAATTGATTTACTATTCTGCATTAGGCCAAACTGCCTGTTGGTGTTAAATATGTACTGAAAGGTTTAATTTTGGGACTGATTCTAATAAGAATTTCTGAAAGCAATTGTTACACCGTAACTTACAGCTTAGAGTAACAACAGACCGATTAGTGGTTACTTTTTAATTATTTTCTTCTTTTTTTAATTGTAGATTTATCTAAGGCAGCAAGATAAATCAGCTAGTATTAATCAGAATGTTCGCCTCGCCAAAATGTCTCTCATTGACCTGGCAGGATCTGAACGTGCCAGTGTGACAAATACCAAGGGGGCTCGTTTTAGAGAAGGAACAAATATTAACCGCTCCCTGCTAGCTCTTGGAAATGTCATTAATGCCTTGGCAGATCCAAAGGTATGTGCTGCTTTCCCATGTAGTCTTCACCTCTAAGTGTCTGAAAATATTAAAAAATGGTAAGCTGTCCTTGAGTAATGGGGATTACATTGTTGAAACTTCTCACATCATCGTTTTCCTTTATGGTTTTTTTATGGGTTTCCACCATCACCTCTGTGATAGCTGAAAGATAATCCCAATGGGAAA